AGCACCAATGTATCAAAGGAATGCACATTTAAATTTTTGAAACATGATACCCATCAACCTTCCAGAGATGTTATACCAACTTATATTTCCAGTACCAGGGTATGAATGTCCCATTTCCTCCACCCTCGTCCATCAGTGCTGGGTATTACCAACTGAATTGGGAGAAAAATGGTCTCCTGTTATTGTTTTGATCACTTTCTATAGAGGGAAAATATCTTCATTATATACTTATTAGCCTTGAGTAATTCTTGTGTGGATTGCGTCTTTAGTTCCTTTACCTTTTAAAAATTGGACTATTTAATGGGACGGCCGAGTGGCTCAGTTGGTTAAGAGCTCGCTCAAGAGTTTGAGCTCTGAGCAACAGGGTCCCCGGTTTGATTTACAGCCCAAGCTGAGCTGCTGCTGAGCTGCCAACAGGTGGCAGGATGGCTCAGCTTATAAAAAAAAAAAATTGGACTATTCATTTTTTTCTTCTTAATTTTAAAAGCTCTTGTTCTTTATGTTGCAAAGGCATTTTTCTAAACTTGTAGTGCTTGTTTTGTTTTCTTTTACTAAATATATTTTACATTGTATATGGTCCAATCTATTTTTCCCTCAAGATGTCTTCTTTTTGGTCTTATCCTGAAAAAGATCTTCCCCACTGCAAAAGCAAATGTCATCACCTCCTTTAAAAACAGAAACAAAAATTGGTTCTATCATGGTTTCATTTCTCTACAATGAACTATTTAATTCACCTGAATTTTGTTTCAGGATCTTGCTCTCTCTTCACTTAGCGGGGCTCCTCCCTCAGACTGGCTTTCTCCTGGTCCTTCCTCCCTCCAGCAGGATATAAGTTCTCAAGGGACCTCAAAACTAGTCCCAGGTGATTTTAGCCCTAAGGCTGAGGTCTCCATCCAACGCAGGACTGGCAGCATTTCAATGCTTTTCCACGGTGCACCAGGGGTGGCAAAGGCTCGTGACAATGCAATCCTTTCCTGAGACAGCAGGAGGGAGTGATGTCCTGGCATCATGATGAGGCCACCTGAGTTCTGCCATCCAGAACCTGAGAGAGTACCCATCTTAGTTCCAGGACAAATCCCAGGTGCAGAATACCCTGTCCTTGGGTCCTCTGCCCTCTAAGAGTCCTCAGGGTTACCAGGCCCTGTCGCTGGCTCTCTGGGGGGATTCAGTGAGGCTATAAGCCTCAGCTATTCACACAGAGCCCCCACGAAGGACACCATCCAATTCTTTCCACCTAGGCTTAGACCATTACACCCAGAGAGCACCTGACAATTTACAAAAAGAAAACACTTCCCCAAGTAAAACTGTAGGCAGAGAGGTGCTGGGTTTACCTCCAGGATGGAAGTGTCCGGCACTCACAGGGCCAGCAGGGGGTCATCCCCTGACCCACTGCAGCTGGAAGTGGGGCCCTTCAACAGAGCCTGGGGGCAGGAGGTGCCCGGAGGCCTGATCTGGGGAAAGGGAGACCATGGAGGGAAAGAAGGCAACTAGTCGTTTAGTTATTAGACACCTAATAGAATTCCCATTTCACCACCAGCCTGGCCAGGGTCCAGCAGGCAAGGAGGGGTGAGTGAGGCCGAAGCATGGGGAGGCAGCTGTGTTGAAAGGGCAAAGAGGAAGTTGTATGAAGCCAGCAACTGGCCCCTGTGCCTGCCCTCTGTGAAGAGGATGCACACAAGACAGGAATCTCTGCCAAGCTGAGTGAGCCCTAGTGCCTGGGAGGTTAAGAAAGCCCAAATCCCTGGAGAGCAGGAGAATCAGCCATACAGGGAAGGAAGCTCGCAGACGGAATGGTGTGAGGAAATTCAGATGCTAGAGTCCATTCTCAGAAGCCACATCTCCCCAATTAAAGGTGGCGTTCAATGCTCACATTAATATTGGGAGAAGTAAAGGGGAGAGTGAAGGGACTGAGGGGGGAAAAACAAAAAAAAAACAAAAAAAACCCCTGAAAACAGCTCCAGGGAGCTGGATGTACAATGAATAGAACATCTACATCTGGCAGAGGATAGTCTAGTTAAAATAACAGTCACACAAAAGTAATTTGTTTGCCAAAGAAGTGTTCTTCCAAGTTATAGATTCCATCCCCTCAGTTCCAACAAAATTCTGTCAGAAACAAGTCTCATAATATTTGTTAAACCCTGAAGTGGAAGGAGGCGGGCAGACAGAAAGGGAAAGGATGTGCCCATGGCCTAGACTCTAGAGGAAATAGCCCGAGTCACAGATAGCCTAGAGAAGCCCCACGAGAGGGCTGGAGGGAGAGGGACTGCTGTCGTTGCAAACTGAAAGCACGCTGTGGTCCTGTGGAACAGACCAAGAGCCAGGGGTCTGACTCCAGGGAGGCAGATTTTGGGCTCAAGATAAGGAAGGACTTTCTATCATGGAAAGCTGTCAACGACGCCGAGTGCCTTGGGAGGCAGCCAGCTTCCCCAAGCAAGTGGAAAGTGGACATATTTACATAGATTACTGCAGTCCCAGTATTAGGAGGCAGGGAGAAGACAGCTGGGGAGGTCCTTTCCCACTCTCACAAGAGTGTAAGGGTCTTTTGCTTCCATGTTGAACACTCTGAGGAAGGAGGAATTCAAACTGATTTAACCTCTGATTTGCACATTTCAGAGCGCGCGCGCGCACACACACACACACACACACACACACACACACACACACACACACACACACGCAGGGCACCTGAAGATGGTGCAAGCGAACTTGCAGGATCCATTCGCGCTCAAGAGGCTTGGGTCATGCACAGCCACTAGTGGGGCCTAGGGGAGCCCAGGGAAGGACAAGAGGGGCAAATCTTATGTGGAGAAACAAAGAAGAGTGCCCAAGGGCTGATCAGACTGCCAAGGCTGAGGCCAGAAGGGATGAAGAAATGTTTGCAGAGTGCCAGAGCCTCACTGCCTCCCCCAGCAAAGCTTAAGGTGGGCCTGTCTACACAGCCAGACGGGATAGCATAATCACCAGCAACACCTAGCTAGCAGCCCCAAAGGGGACGTCACTATCCCCTTGAGACCCAGCCAGACTGATTGGAGCCAAGCTCCATTAGGGCAGAGGCAGGAACAAGAAAAGCCCTAGTAAGCAACCTTTCAAAGATGAAGGGCAGGGGGACCTCTTTGCTTGCTGACCCAGTTGGAAAGGGGGGCAGCTCAGTCCGTGCAGACTCAGGCAGGTTCCCCTGTGGGTGACTGCATTATAACCCACTGTTCATATAGACATAGACTCCCCGCGCTGCGCTTGTAGAGTAATAGCACATTCCTGACCAATGCAAGCCGGATCAACAAGCTTTACTGTACACCTTTCGCCCAGCACCGCACGGCAATCACCCAGCAAGGGCTCCACTGCACTCCCCCGGGCTGAAGTTGTGCAACACAGGTGGCCTCTCTGCCATTTGTTTTGTATTCTGGAAAGTTTTGAGACCTACGTGCTGACAAAAGGTATGCAAGCTAGGCCAGCTGTGAAAAACAAAACAAAAAAATCATCTGAAATGTTTAAATATGAGTCATGGAGGCTTGAGGGGTTTTCAAGGAACTGGTCCAAGGAACAGACATGAAGTCCAGCTAGCAATGAGGAGGGATTGTGGTGGTCCTTTGGCATTATAAAGGATATCATAAATATCCCCAAAGCGGGGCAGGCTTGGCCGATTGTACGGGTTATAACTGGCAGAAACAAAAGTGAAGACAGATCACGACTTCAGGACAAATGGAAAGAGCCAGCTACTGCCAATGGGCTTGGCCAGCAATGCGGTCAGCTCGGCTACACATCTGCTCTGTGTATCTGTGTATCCGTGTATGTTCAGGTGGTGGTCCCACTTCCAGGACCACACCCTCTGGGGATATTCCTGTAGTCCCGCTGGAGAAGCAGCTCACCCCTGATTCTTGACCACTGGGCTACTTCTCCAGCCTTAAGGAAAAAGCAAACCTATCAGAAGCCAGGGCCTCACAACTTATCTAAGCCACAAGAGTCCAATCCATCATTTTAGACAAACTGGGCAAAGAAGGTGAGTGGCCTGCTTAAGGTCATGGTCAGGCAAAGGCATGGACAGACACACCTCCAGGCTTGCAAGTCCATGCACTTCCTCCATCATGCCCTCGATCCTCCATCATGCCCTTGAGTGCCTCAGAAGGCCCCAGGCCCCCGGCTAGCAAGTAAAGCTGGTTCCTGCATGACCTCTTACACTGTGCACCAGATCACTGCCCACCTGCCTGTAAAGAGGCCCTAGTGAGAAGGGCGAGATCTTGCTTTCCAACAAGGAGCAAGTCGGCTCTACCAGCATAAGAAGCCAAGTTTAATCCCCACCCGCCTTCCAGCCACCTGTCCTGCTCGACCCTCCCAGAACACATGCATTTGCTCATTCATTCAGATGTTAACGTGTACCTGCTGTGGTGACAGGGACAGGATATACAGGGACCATCCAGGATCCCTACTGTCGTGGGGCTTACAAGCCAGAGGGAGAAACATGAACTGAATCACCTCATGAATCAATTTACAATTACCAATTGAAATATGTGCTCCAAAGGGCAGGCACACGGTTCAATAAAAGTCTCTGTTAAAGGGGCCTGACCTCGAAGGGCTGCTGTAGGGAAGGGCTTCCTCACTGAGCTGAAATCTGGGGAGCTAACAGGCGAAGAAGGAAAAGCTGGAGACAGCAGCAACAGCGCGTACAGCCCCAAGCTCTGTGGCAGGAGAACAAGGCACACTCAAGGGAGCCCAGGGGTACCTCTGCAGGCAAGTGGGGCGAGCATTACCAGCGAGTCCTTCTGGGGGAGCCTGGGCACAGGCCCAGGCCCCTGAGGAACCAGTCTTCGCCACACAAGAGAAAGGTCAGAAATAGACCTGTTTCTTCCTCCTCTTCCCAGCACCACAGTGGCACAAGAGCTTCTTATGAAATCCTAACCTTTCGAAAAGAGCAGTTACAGAATCTATGACACTGCAGATGTTTTGTTAGAGCCGGTGAAACCCCGAGGCCACAAGGGGCAAAAACACAGGGAGACCACAGCGCATTCGCTCTAGCAGCATTTTTATTTACAAACAGCAATTTCCATTGACTGTATTGATACCATAAAAAAGCCATTTACAAGCAAGAAACAAGAAGTCAGAACAAAATTAAGCAGCACTGAAATATTCATGTCACAAATCTAAAACAAAATGAATACAAGAGTAAAATATCATTTGAATAAATAGTCTTAAATCCATGCTATAAAATAATCCTTAATGGCAAGTTACTAGTCGATATAGCATCCGCTTAGCTAGCTTCATTTACTTCATATAGTGATGAAGTGTGGAGTTGTGAGGTTACCATTTTATATTGCAAGGTAATGACACTGTTAAGTCATTCAAATTGCTCAACCATTTATAACGGAAAAAAATGTTAGCCCTACTAATAAAAGTGGTGAGAGAGATGGTTTTCACATTAGAAAAATGGTCATTCTCAAAGAAACCAGGTGAGTTTACCTCTTACTATATAGTCAGGGCAGCAACCAACGGCTTGGGGAGCAAGTCCAGAGGTTGAATTCACAGCATACTTGTCACTGAGGGGCAGCAAGAGGTCCGTTTACTGAATCTGCGGCCAGGCTCGCTCCAGGGCTTGATCAAGAACTACAACAGCCCTGTCTGTGCAGGCTCAGAGGGGAACCAGAGGAAGCAGGTTCTCTTCCGGGCCGAGAAGTCAAGCGCTGGGCAGAGACAGGGGAAACACTCTGGCACTTACTGAAAAAGACGTATGTGGCATGTGACAACCATTACAAATTTGGAACAATGTGAATGACTCTTCTGAACGTTGAGTTCAGTTGCACTGAGTAATATGAAATCTATGATTTATGAACTAAATAGTTTCATATAAAGAATTTACATAATTCCCCAATACTTTCATATATAAAATTTAATAAATAACCCTGACCAGTCTAGAAGCACCATTCAAGGGGCGTGTGCCCTTGGAAAATAGTTTAGGTGTTGCATATTTGAGTCCCTTTCAGTGGAGGCTTCACAGAAAACCATTACAGAATTTAACAATAATGACGACGACAAAAAAAAAAAAATCACAGTAATAGAAAAAGTTGTTAAAATAAAATACATTGATTTCTTTAAAGTAAAGCTCATTCACATAGATGATTTCCCCCCAGCCCTTGTTTTGTGTTCCTGCAAAATTCTTCCTAGAGTCTAGGCTGTGAAAACAACACTAAAAACAAAACCACACACAAAATGATGCAGGCCTATGGTCTGGGCGAAGGGAGAACAAAGACTTGGTTATAACCGTTCTCATCAGAAAGCACTCATGCTCTGGGAGATTTTTAAATGATTAATTTAGATCTACAGTATATTCTGCTTAACAGTGAACTGACAGTATCCTTTCTGCTGTTTAAAAAACAAAAACAAAAACAAAAAAGCGGCCAAGGCAGAGCCAATTGGGAGGTTTTCCACTGACCAAAATTAACTTGTCTTCATATACTGTATTTACAAATATAATTTCTAAATGTATTTACAGCTTTAGTAGAAATTAGAGGGTAGAGAACCGATTCGAATGAAAATAACTGTTTAGAACCACAAACAGTAAAAGTATAAAATTCTTTGTTTTCACAGTTTGTAATAACAGGTAAAACCCCGATAGAAAAGGACGCTGCCACTGTCTTCACATTGTCTATGTATGGAAAAGGTAGCTCGGGAAGAGACTCAATTATGAACAAACCTATAGGAACTCAGGATATATTTTACTGTAAAAGATTTCTTCACATATCGCTTTTCTCTTAATTGGTTTTTGCATTCATTATAAATGAAACATCTAATCTAAAACTGTACAGAAATAGGGACTTTGCTTTCCAAAAAGAGTTGCTCTAAGGAGTTACACAGCGTACTTCGTCTGCAGAGACGTGAACTTCGGGGAGAATGTTTCTGTTCTGTGGTCATGTCAATCCTCCTGGCACATCCTCGTGTGACAAGGCACAAGTAATTGCTGCTGCCCGATCTGAATGGAGTAAATCTGCCACCCGCCACGCACACGGAGGAGCATGACGGTGCGCACGCTCAAAGAGGCCACACAGCTGTGCTGGCCTCCGCGCTGACCCCTCGAAGCCCTGTGGAACCTTACAGTACTGTGTTATGGCTTGAGAATTCACTCTTAACACTGCTAGCAGTGGAAAGGGTAAAGTGTTAGCAACATGAATGGGAGCAAGTGGAACTTGCAAAATGTGGAGTCATGGTCATCAGAGAGAAACTCAATCAATTTTCTGCCCCTTAAACAGTCCCATTACAATGTTTGAACCTGAACTGTACAATCAAAGCAATGTATATTTTTGTCAAAGACAATTTTGGATAAGTCACTCTTTGGTAAACTCAAACCAGTTAAACAAATTTACAAATACAAAGAACTCCGTGTAAATAAGGATAAGACTGACACGGTGACAAGAACTGGGACATTCGAGGTGCTCGCCCCAAGTGTTTCCCCTCCTGCCTTGTCTGGTATATCACGGAATGCTCTAGAGACCCCGCACGAGGTCCCAAGCCTGAGTGAAAAGGAGGTTCCTTCCCTGAGCCTCACCTCTCACATCCTTGATTTGGGCATTTCTTGTCACAAATGTTATGTTGTATCACAACACAAATTTTTTGCATTGAATTCTTTAAAAAAAAAAAAAATCAAAACCAAACTTATTCGTGTAAGAAAAAAAATTACAAACATTTACCTGAAACCCCAGAACATATTTAAGTGGGTAAACACTTGGGGTACAGCCTCCCCTTGAAGCACGCGGCTTTGACAAGAGTTGAACAAGTGCTCCAGGGAGAGAACAAGCCCCTTATTAGGCAGTTTGACAGGAGAAGGCATACGATATACCCGATTTAGCAAAAGCTGCTCCCGGGAGCAGCAGGATTCGAGTGTAATCTGTACGTAGTAACACTGACGTGTGGCGCAGTTCACGCGTGAACAGATCCTGTGTGCTAAAGAGATGCCACTGCACGGCTACCACCCCTGGGCGCCATCACGCACAAGGGCCTGAATGATTTGTTTTCTCAAAATAACCTCCCCCCCGCAAAAAAAAATACCGCCCCCAACCCCCACCATTCTTGGTATTTTAAGAGCCAAAAAAGCATGGAAAACCAGCAAACGTCTATTTCTGTATTCCTTTAACTCCTAGCCTCAGAGGTTGGTCTTTCCATTTGTTTTCCTTTCAGGTGGTTTGTGCTGTTCTCCTGTGGAGACGCACGGGCTGAGAGTTTCAGAGCCAAGGTTCTCAAGCAGAGTCTGGGGTGCTGACATCCTACAGGCAGCGTCAGCACAAACTCACCACCAATTTGCTCACCAAATGCCTCTGTCCGAGTACACAGTACCGAAGCAGTCTTGTAAAGCCCGTTTTGTTTACCAGAAGCACACGGGTGAACAAAACAGAGTTGAAGACATTTCCTAAAGTACTAATAGAACATTATTTCAATAGGACTCAGGTGTGTTTTGATACAGTAATGTGTTTGCCAGCACATGCTTTTGAGGTCTGTTTTCAAGCTCTGAACTCAAGAGAGGAAAAAAGTAGTAATTCACTATTACCATTTGATTTCACATTTTGTACAACTATACTGACCTAAAGGAGACAGAACATAAAGATAGCACCACGTGACCTAAAAAAAAAAATGGTGACACACAGATTTGGTGACACACAGAGGATCTCAGAGGGCTTTTGAACTGTTGGTTTCTTTAAGCAGGAAACACTGAGAGTGCGGGGGAGCCACCAAGGCTCTCGTTAGCACACACAATACTAAGATATATTGCTTGCAATTCCCATAGAGTTTATCTTTACAAAAGTACAAATTCCAAGTTCTGCAGTTTCCCTGGGAACTGCATGTAGAAAAAGTTGCTGTGCACCTGAACTGGCTGTTTGAAAAGAGAAAGAAAGAAAAACAAACAAAACCACAACACTGCATGGAGAATATTGTAGACAGAGCTACAAATCCCTTTCCTTCAGTGCGAGTAGTAACTCGTGGTAGAGTGATTCGATTTAGTTACCTGGTATGTTTCTACAGTACGGAATGCAGGTAGATTCGTAGGCCAGTAAAAACACTGAAAACCACTGCTCCTTTGGGGTTGGCTAATAAAACACTACAATATGTAAAAAGGTCAGCACCACGGGTCATCCAGCCTACCATCTGGACAACAAACAAAAATCCCAAATGTTTTCCAACTCGAGTTGAGTACATTTTATGGCATTTGGTTTATGTATTTATTACAAAGCAGAGCTATGAACACTGTGATTTGCTTTGCTTGCTTTTGGACACAATGATTATTAGATATGAGAGCCTATTAACATTCTTTTGTAAGGGAAATAAAGGGGCAAAACCCTAACAGATTAGGTAGGGACAAGACAGAGTCAAAAGCCCTGTTCACATTGTATTAAATTATATATTCCTCTTACATTCACCTCAACCAGAATAAAATCAAATTTGAGAATGTATATATACTATATATATAATAATCACTTTATTATATATATATATAAATTGTCTAACTACTCCGTAAAAGTAATTTTAAATTAGAAAAGGTTACCCATTTGTATCAGCTGACGGCATTCTAGTCTCTCTCCATGGAAACGCACTGGTGCCAGTGCGTGATGGCACCAGAGAGAGTATGCCTCTTGGCAGAGAATGTAGGGTCAACCAGTTGGCATAGCGAAATCACTGGCAGATTTTGGATTAAGAGTTCAGCCAAAGAGGAATACTGTCAGCCTGTGTTTTCCCTGGATACGATGCCCTTCATGCTTTGAGCTCCTTGGAGGAGGGCGGGGAAAGGATAAACACAATGAAGTGTTCCTTCCAGAAACCTTAGAAAAAACTGCCAAGAGACCAAGAGATTTCCAGATGGCTGAGAAAACTAAAGATTACAACAAAGCAAATCACAAATATGCATTGATTCATGTGCTTTGTTTCGGTGCACTTCTTTACCATCTTAATCAGGAGCATCGGACACTGTGTGAATTTCCATCCGGGAATCTAGGGCCATCTCTGAGGCCGATGCATCGTTTTCTAGTTTCTGTTCCACATACACATCTGTTCTCTCGGGGGACTCAATGCGACTCCTGACTTCGGCGACGCCGGGGTGGTTTTTCCGCAGGTGCTGGTTGAGGGTCCCTTGGAATGGGAAGCACTTCCCACAGATCTCGCAGCGGAATGGTTTGTCATCGGTATGGCCCCGGATGTGGTACTCCAGTTGGTCCTTCCGCGTGTACTTCTTCCCGCAGAACTTGCACACAAAGGGGGTGATTCCCATATGGAGTCGCATGTGCCTGTCAAGGCTTCCTTTCTGGTTGAAGGACTTTCCACAGTAAATACAGATCAACCTCTCGTTGTACGGGTACCAGTGACCTCTTGCACTCCTCTCCCGGGGACTGCCCTCGTACCCGGGGTTATTCATCACAGCTTCGCTGTCAGAACCCTGCACCAGGCCGGGCAGATCGCTGTGCAAATGGACAGACAAAGCCCGCTTTTGGCGGGCACGCCCTCCACGGAAACAGCTCAGCATGGACCTGGACGGGCTGGAATTACTCAAACTTCCAAAAGCTTCCGATACGCTGGTTGGCTGCGAGGCTGCCTGGGAATAGGAATATGCGTGCTGGAGCACTGAACCATAGGGACCCACGTTCACCGCCACCACTTGTTCCCCGTCAACCATCTCGGTGTGGTAGCCGTCGTCTCCCAGGGAGGAGCTGTCGGAGCAGCTGGGCCGGTCGGATTTTTCCATCTTCACCTTCACCTCCGTGATCTGGCTCTCCCTCACCAGCAGGTCCCCTTGCTCATGGTCTCCCTCTATCTGAATCTCGTACTCGGACACGCTCCCGCTGCTCCCTCGGTCCGAGTGCCCTTCCTCCTGCAGGCGGCTGCGCAAAGCTTTGCTGGGCGTGGTCTCCATCCGAAGGTCGCTGCTTGTGCTGGGCTGCCGTACCTGAGAGCAATAGGGAGGGGAGATCTCCACGGGATTGGCGAAGAAGCTGCCGTCCTTAACTCCATTCCGACTCTCTGGAGTCTCTTCAGCACCGACGGTCACAGAGTCAACATCTCCAACACTGATTTTTGAATGGATGCTCTCCAGGATCTGCGTGCACTTGTCGATGACACACTGCATCTGAAGGAAGCTAGCTGCCGTCAGAAAACTGACAACATCCTTCAGCTGCAAGGACATTCTTCCAGTGTAACAAAATGAAAGCAACTGCTCGAACACATTGGGATTTTTAATCACTGATATTGACAAGCCACTCATGGTGCTTAATGCTGAATGGTCCCGGAAATATGGGGAGCTGGCAGCAAGGACAGCTTTGTGGGCTCGGAACGGCTGACCCTGAATGTGGACAATGATGTCACATAGTTTCCCTTGCAGGCGGAGTTCGTTTAGCTGGCTCAGAACGGTGCTGCTGTACTCGGGCACATCAAACTGAATAAAACTGCTGCTGTCCATTTCTACTGACATGAAGCGTAATCTGCGGAAAGAGAGAGTTTCATAATTCACCAGGACTCCTAAGTACGAGCAGCATAAACACAAGCTTGCAAAAATAATACCATCACTTTAGCTACTGGACCTCCATTCTTCCTCTTATTTTCAGTCTTTCACGTCTTGGTTAATTCATCTAAAGCCAAATAGCCAAATGATCAATTAGTCTAGTGCCCTAACTGCCTAGCTTTTATCTTGATCAGAATTAAAACATATATAGTAGGGCCACTGCCACTCTGATTGAGAATCTGGTATCGTTTTAGGAAACTATTACCCTGTTTCACCTAGTTTTGAGGATTTGAAGTACAATAAAACCTTGGATTGCGAGTAACTTGGTTTGCGAGTGTTTCACAAGATGAGCAAACGTTTCTAATACCTTTTAATGTGGTAAACAAGCGACGTCTTGCAATACAAGTAGTTTGTTTCCTGAATGAATTATGCTCACAAACCAAGGTATTACTGTACTTAGTAAAAAATAAGTTGGGGCCGGCCGAGTGGCACGTTGGTTAGGAATTGGCTTGGGACACCAGCTCTGAGCAGCAGGGCCTGGGTTCGGATCCCACATAAGGGACAGTGACACTACGCCCTCTACAGCTAAGATGCTGAACAACAGCTCGACCTAGAGCTGGGCTGCTGTGAGTGGCCAGCGACAGCATAGGCTGCAGTGGGCTGGCCGGCAGCAGGCGTGAGCTTTCGTGAGCTGCTGTGCCTGGCCTTCCAATGGCCGGTGAGCGACTGCCTCACCTGGGAAGAGCACAATGATCACAATACCAACATGGGCCAGTGAAGCTATGTCCTCCACAACTAGAATGAAGAACAAAAGGACAGCAACTTGTCTGTTACCCTTCCCTGATTCCCCAACGCTGTTCCTCTCCCTCAATTCCCCAATAAAATCTTTTAAAAAATAAATAAAAATAATTAGATATAATATAGTCATGGGGATATGAAATATAGTATGGGGAATATAATCAATAATGTTGTAAAGATTATGTAGGTGCTAGATGGGCACTGAACTTATCAGAGGGATCACATGACCAATGCTCTGTACACCTGAAGCTGAGGTTGAATAATAATGTTAACTATAAAATATATATATATATATATATATATATATATATGTATGTATGTATGTCACAGGATGTAGAATATAGCCTAAGGAAGATAGTTAATGGTATTGTAACAGCTATATGAGACGTCAGAGGGGTGGTAGCTTGCAGGAGGGGGATTATCACTTTGTGAGGGGTGTAAATGTCTATTACGTTGCTTTGTACACCTGAAACTAATAAATAAAAAATAAGTGAATTCATCAAAGTATGTTCTGCCTTATTTCTATATTTCCAATTGGTGTTTCTCAGTTATACAGCACATTGGATAAAATGAATGGAGCTGAACCCTTGTTAGTTTAGAATTTGAGTTGTCTTGATGTGCATTCTTCCCCCTTCAGCTCTGCACACCTTTCTATCTTTTTAGGTTGGTAATTTACACAGCAATGCTCACTCAGTCCCTTTCAGTGACAAGTTCTTAGGCTTGGCGGACATTTGGTCCTTGACCATGGGGCACGGACCAAATATGCTCATGAATTTTTTAATTTTTTTTTTAAGATTTTATTGGGGAATTGGGGGAGGGGAACAGCGTTGGAAAATCGGGGAAGGGGAACAGACAAATTGCTGTTCTTTTGTTCTTCAGTCTAGTTGTGGAGGACGTGGCTTCACTGGCACATGTTGGTATTATGATCATTGCTCTCTTCCCAGGTGAGGCAGATCGGTCGCCGGCCATTCAATGGCCACTCACAGCGGCTCACAGCAGCTCATGCTGGCTGCCGGCCACTCACAGTAGCTCACGGCAGCCCACTGCAGCCTATGCCATCACCAGCGACTCATAGCAGCCCAGCTGCAGGTCCAGCTGTTGTTCACCATCTTAGCTGTAGAGGGCACAGTGTCACTGGCCCTCATGTGGGATCCGAACCGGGGCCCTGCTGCTTAGAGCTGACGTCTCAAGCCAGCTGTTAACCAACGTGCCACTCGGCCGGCCCACTCATGAACATTTTTGACAGCACCAAATGTCAACGATCTTTTGATGTGTACCACATGTCTCCATGGAAGTCCTGGACAGGACCAAAGTTACTGCAAGGGTTTTTAGACAGCAGCAGTAAAATAGAGTGATGGACATCACGAGTGTGTTTCCTTCCACTAGTGCTCCCAACACGGCACACCTTGTACGGGCTGGCTGCCTCTTGCCTAGAATCCATAGCACTGACCCACTCAACACCGCGGGAGTATATACAGCCCAGGCTGCCTTCTCTGGCCAAACGTAACAAAATTAGACCTAACAATTATATCTTAGTTTTTAAAACTCAATCAATAGAAATGTAAATACCTCTAGAATCAGTACTGAATCAAAGCCAAAATCAAAACGGAATAAAACTACTTAGAAAATAAGGAAACTCACATCAAATCTGCAGCAACAAGGGTTTAGGAGTGAAACTTACTTATGTCTTCAACTTACATGAGAATGCATCCAAAAAAAGAGATCGATAGATATGTGATAAAGCAAACAGTAAAATGGTAACAAGTGAAGAGTCTAGACAGATGATGGGTATACAGCTGACTACTGTAAAACTCAACTTTTCTGTATGTTTGAAGTTTTCCATAATGAAATGTTGAGGGTTTTGAAACAACAATAAAATTTAACAGGGAAAGTCAGTACCTTAAAATTGTTTACCACGAAACAACAAAGAATAAAAATAAATCAGTCATGAGGTTAGAAAAAAACCAACAAATTAAACCCAAAGAAAGCAAAACAATAATTAATACAGAATAGCATATAATCACAGAGAAAAAAATTTAAATTATAAGACAATGTGCAACTAAATCTAAGACTCTTACAGAAAAGGATCAGTTGGTTAGTGTGACTAGATCACATAAGAATTTTGTTTAGTAACTTCAGAATATGAGTTGAAACAAGTTAGTGGTTAAACAGGAATACTCCTTATTTATCCTAGATTTATGACTGAAATCAATTTGAAATCTGTATGGAATGACCATATTTTTAGAATAACATAAATTGGCAGAATTAAATAAAAAAGAAACAAACACTAAAGCACAAATGATCTTCAGGCCATTCATACTATTCTACATGCACGTTAAAACATTTAAAGCATCTTGGTTCATAGGCATAAAGCTGATACCAGAGATGGCAAAGAGCAAAAGGAAAACTCACTTTCCCTCAGGAAACGGACTTTAAAGTCCTAAAGGAAATACAAGCGAATATAACCTATTAAAATAATGTAGTATGACCAAATGTAAAGATGGCTGTATGTTAGGAAATATACCAATATAATTTGCAAAGTCAGTAACTTAAAGGAGAAAAATCATATGGCCAAATCAATACTATACCAAAATGCATTTTAGAAAGGTAAAATGCCCTTTTAAAGTAAAGAAAAAATATTCAATAAGCTAGGCATGGAACAATATTTTCTTAATATAACAACAGTATCTAATGCAAACCAATGGCAATATCATCCTTAAAAGGGAAACATCATATCTGCATTTCCCACACTGTGTTTAGTAGAACACATGCCCATGAGCTAGCTTCAATATCCCTACCTCCCTGGGATTAAAAAACACATTAGCATAATAACCCATCTGAAAAGTCCTGCAGACAAGAATTCTATTTAACTCAGCAGTTTGCAAACTCATTTAACGGTGAAACTCTTCTCTCAAGGTACACATATTAATATTCCAAAGAATTAGTGTTCCCTAGCACACACTCTAGTAAACACTTTTGTGAAGGTGGAATTCCCGTCAGTGCCTGGGAGGATGCAAGGCTGTCTGCCCATCACTTCTCTTACTTAACATTGCTCTGGAAGTTCCAGCCAAAGCAGCAAGAGAAAATTAAGGCATATGGCATTAGAAAACAGGAAGTGAAATTACTATTCAAGGCAAATATGACTATTTACATAGAAAACACGAGAGAATCACTTGAAAAAAATCTGTTAGAATCAGGATCTAATAACTGGGTTTCAAAAAGTACTGTACATAAAAACCCAGTTAGGTAAGATAATGACAAGTTACAGCCAACAACAGTAACAGAAATTATAAAATACCTACAGGATAAACAAAAAATAGAATCTACAAGAAGAAAACTGTAAGATTTTAATAAGGACAAAAACATGTCTAAATGAGACACATATCATGCTTCTGGCAGGGAAGTTCAATATTATAAAGATGGATACTTTCCCTCAAAACTAATTCATAAATATAATACAGCCCAATGGAGTCATTTTCTTAGAAACTTGACAAAAATGCTTTTTAAATTATTCTAGAACGTTGCTGTCCGATCGATATATAATGCAAGCTATATGTGTAATGTTTTCTAGCAGTTACATTGTTTAAAAATATAAACTGAATTTTAATACATTTTATTAACCCAATATATCTAAAACATTATCATTTCAACAAGTAATTAATATTAAAAAGTTATTTAAGTCTTTGAAATCTGATGTGTATTTTATACCAACAGCACTCCGCAATTTGGAATAACCACATTCCAAGTGCTCAATAGCCACGTGTGGCTAGTGGCTACCATATTGGACAGTGCAGGTCTAGAAGAGTAAATACTGAAGGGACTTTAGAAAAAGAAAAATGCAGCCAAACATACAGATGTCAAAATGTGTGATTAGGCTATAATTCATTTGGTAAGTAAGTACTGAGTGTCTTCAATGTGCCAGGCACTGGGGACCCAGGAGAGCTATAATTCTGTTATAAATTGCAATAAAAGATAGAGATCTTTCCAAATGGGGGAGTGGTCTGAGAAGGCCACTTGGACAAATGATATTTCAACTGAGACCTAAAGGATGAGTAAAGGTTAGCCAGATATGGTGGAGGTGGTGGTTGCCATAGGAAAACCTTCCAGTTTTCCAGACAGAAGGAATCACACGTACAGAAATGAGAGCCTGAGTCGGGAAGGAAGGAAATGTTGGGTATCGCG